AACAAAAGAAACAAAAGAAAAAAGAAAGAAAGAAAGAAAGAAGGGAAGATAAAAATGTTCAACGTCCGTTTCAGTGAAATAGAAAAAGTTGAATCTCAGGTTTGGGTACTCCAGTCGACTGTGTAGTTGAATGCGGACTTCCCAGGAAAGCACTCAACCTTGTCTGCTGTAGATATCAGGATGCTTGGATAGAGGAGGTATACAGGATTTGCTTCTGTTCAGCACACTCTTGCAGAACCGCATAGTTAAAGTTGCCAAGAGGGCAGAGCTGCCGAGTACGACATGAGTCAGAGACATGCGTTCACCACTAGGAACCGGAGAGCGAGAAGCAAATCATTGAGTAGAATCACCCGTCGTCCTCTGTTCTCAAGAATTTAAACAACAGCTGAAAGAAACATGCTTTTGGCATGGGAAGAAACCTATTCTGACGATATTCCAGAGATTTTAAGAAACTAAGGACAGTGTAACGTATTGCGCTTGGCTGTAACACCTACTGAAACACGTAATTCGGCACAAACGACGAATACTGCTGTCCAAACGAGTGCTTCTACGGCCGTATATATCAACAGCGACGGTAGGGACTGCGTGGACGTGAACTGCTTCCGCTTCAGCTTTAAACCCATATTTGGCGCCGGCCCATTACCCCGCTTGATGGAGACGCTACGCAGTCGTAGTTAAGCTTGGGTGGTGAGTCCTAGCACACGGCGAATACATGAGTTCGTGAGCAACCGAAGAACTTCTTTTCGGAAGTGTTGAGGAAGTTTGGGGAACGATAGAAAAAGTGCAGCGACATGCATAGGGACTATTGTCAAAAAGTTACATTAGTTGGTCAGAGTATACCCTATTTAATGTAACTCTCTCGACACAGAGAGACGCAGGTTCGAATCCTGCTAGAGAACATAATTTTCTTGAAAATATTTATTGAACATTCAGACCGGTAGACGAAAATAAATAATTCTAATAAATTAACGATCGTCTACTCAAATATGGTAGCATGTGTAAACATCCCTTACCGGTCTCCGAACAGCCAAGAAACTACCAACGTTATATCCTCTAAAAATAATGTTTAAATAATATATATATATATATATATATATATATATATATATATATATATATATATATATATATATATATACACACACATATATATATATATATATTATAATTATAATTATTTTTAAAAGAATGATTCCTTCGCTACATAAAAGATCTCATGTTTCAAAAACAAGAGCCCAAAACTTCAGTATAATTATTAAAATTAAATTGAATTAAATTTGAATTAAATTTGAATTAAATTAAATTAATTTTAATAAATTTAATTTTCAAAATTTTATTGAAGTTTTTCGCTCTTGTTTTTGAAACATGAGGACTCTTATGTAGCAAATGAATTCAAGACGCCGAGGGAATGCAAGAGACTGCGGCGAGGCAGCTACTCGCTACCCAGCCCCACCCCCAAAATAGTTGCAGGAATGCTTCCATCAAAGGACATGATGCTGGAAAAAATATGTGGCCTCAAAAGGCTACTACTTCGAAGGAGATTAAATGCAGTATTGATATGTGTTGTAGTTTTCTTTTTGATCAAACCTCATATATGCCTGTCTATGCGCATGCGCAAGTAGTCACATGAACATACATTTCATAGGTAGATTCAAATGAAAAAAATGGACTTTTCTGCTGGAACGTAAGTTCATTTATTGGAATTCCTGAAGTCAACGTCTTTAAATCGGTAATATTATTAGATAAGAATGAAAGAAAAAAAGAAAGAAGGGAAAAAAATATTCAACTGCGGGCAGGTTTTAAGAAATACAGCTTCAATATTAAAGTCGATACCGCCCCGGCACCCAATAAGAATATGTAGCGCCCAATGTCTCCATATGTAAGAGATTACGGATTAGATAGCTTGCATTATTTCCTATTAATAAAAAATAAAAAAAAATTAAAAAAAAGTTACTTCCTGATAAAGCCTAAAAAGACGAGATTTATTGAATGGCAAACTGCAAATGGTAAGATAAAAAATACCATTGTATGTATTGAATATAAGTCGATTTAATAAAGATTAAAAATAGGCTAGAACAAATAAAAAAAGAAAACAGATTAGCCTGAAAATATGAATAAAATGGGAAAAAATGCTTTGCCTTTATATACTTACATCGTACGCAGCAAAATTAATAATAGTTTTTTTTTGTTGGCAATGCGAATTCCTATCGTTTGTGTTAGCGTTTCTTTTTAAAGCTTATAATCAAAAGACACAAAAACAAGTAAAACGTACCATGAAAACGTCGTAAATCATTCGGCAGATTTATTCGTTTTTTTAATTTTGTTATTTAATCTCCCCTTTTCTTTTTACTGAATTGTATTTTTTTCATGTCTTATTTTAACAAAAGAAATAAATTTATTAAATACAAATCTCATTATATTCCAGATTGTTGCTGTCATCTACAACTTACGGTTGGAAATATTCTTTCGTCACACAGAGAATTAATACATTATTTACATTATTGGGACTATTGGCCTCATTTTTGTCGCCATATTTATTAAAAGTTTCGGCCGTTGTACGCCCCGGCTTTTTCAGTCTTTGGCTATATTTCTGTGATGATATGTTATGTCCACTATTTACATTATTCGGACTATTGTCCTCATCTTTGTCGACATATTTATTACAACGTTGTACGCTCCGGCCTTCTTCAGGTGGTTGGAATGTCGAACTGAACTCTTTATTTCGCTTACTGGGGTAGACTGTTCTAGTTCCACATGCCATGTTTAATGGATGTCAGTTATCAGTTATCTCCTATTAATTCCACTCTCCAAGTTCTCCACTGCCTTTATCTACTAACGCCTAACTGAGGACACATGGCACAGTGGATAAAGGCGTTAGTTAGATCCAGTAAAGGCCCCAAAGTGTGTCAGTTCAATACCCGCTTAAGGCGGTGGAGAACTTTGAGAGGGGAATTAACAGGAGATAACTGACATCCATTAGACATGGCACGTGGAACTGATACTTCCTAATTCCTCACGACGAGATTGTATGAAATTTGGCTAATATTCCCTTTAAACTTTGTTATTGCGACCAGGATAACGATATTTCAGAAACGTGCCCATTTCAATTAAGGCACCTGGTGAATGGGAACATTCTCCTACAGAGAAGACACAAATAAAATTAGAAGTGATTATCTGTCGATGTTTCTGAGATGAGGTATTATGTAGATTATTTACATTATTCGGACTATTGGCCTCATCTTTGTCGCCATATTTATTACAACGTTTCGGCCGTTGTACGCTCCGGCCTTCTTCAGGTGGTTGGAATGTAGAACTGAACCCTTTATTTCGCTCACTGAGGTAGACTCTTCTAGTTCCACGTGCCATCTCGAATGGATGCCAGTTATCTCCTGTTAATTTCCCTCTCAAATTTCTCCACCGCCTTAACCAGGTATTGGACTAACACTCTATGTGTCCTGTCAATGTATCTAACTAACGCCTTAACCCACTGTTCCATGTATCTTTAAGAACACATGGCACAGTGGATAAAGGCGTTAGTTAGATCCAGTGACAGGACCCAAAGAGTGTGAGTTTAATACCCGGTTAACAACTTTCAGAGGGGAATTAACAGGAAATAACCGATAACTGACATCCATTAAACATGGCACGTGGAACTAGAAGAGTCTACCCCAATCAGCGAAATAAAGGGTTCAGTTCGACATTCCAACCACCTGATGAAGGCCGGAGCGTACAACGGCCGCGATGTTGTCATAAATATGGCGACAAAATGAGGACAATAGTCCGAATAATGTAAATGATGTACTTAATACCTCATCTCAGAAATATAGCAGATACTGTTAGAATTATTAGTCACGCTTGCGTGCATGTTCTTTTATAATTAGTTATGTTAGTCTGCCACACGAAAGATAACGATAGTCTGACACGCAGAAAAATTTTATAAAACAATTTTGTTTGTAAATCCATTATTAGTGTATCCTTGTAAAATTCCGACAACAAAAGTAGTATGCATTTATACCATAATGTTATCATTTATCGCACCTTCCTCAGTGTTGTAGCTCGTATTTTCGTGATAACAAAGAAAAACAAATAAAGACAAATTCGTAGGTAAGTAATGAAGTACAATGTTTACTAACCGAAGGTTCATTTAGCATTTGACCAAATACTAACTCGGTATTTAGCCGAGATACCCCTAGAGCGAGATATGGCACGAGGCTGGTTTAACTTGGGATTTCTCGAGCCCGTATGCCCAGGCAAAAAATTTCTCCGTTGACCCCGTAATAATGGAGTCGGTTTTTTCTACCTCTCCAGACAAGATACAGCCCTTCGGCACAGGCTCGTCTGGGTTCCTCTCTGCCAAATGCATAGAGTTCGACAAGTACTAAGATCTTAATACACGGCTAGTATATTTAGTTCCCCCCCTCACGAGGGTTGGATGTGGCACAAGGCCGGTTTAACGTTGGTTCTCCGAACTCGTAGGCTCGGCCAAAAATATTCCCTTTCGAGGAATCAGGGCCAGTCAACCTTCCCGAACTAGTTTCTGCCCTTCTCGTCCGGCTTCCTCTCTACTCAAAGGCAGGGAGTTCGACAAGTACTAAGATCTTATCGCGCGTCTAAGCGTTAATGCTAACGCTTAACCCCGCTTAATTACATAAACGGACGATTCCCTTCATTTATGTCTCATGTGATAGTAAGTTCGTAAATTAGTGATCATGTGCGATACACTGCCATTGCCGCAGATAAATAATGGATCTTTCCTTTTTAATTGCGGGGAAAGACGAAAGACAAACATATATGGAAGACACTGTTTAGTTCTAGTGGGAAAAACATATATAAAATAAATGAAGAAAGGGGGACTTCGATGTGCTGTAATGTTAGCAAGTCTGTCCCACTGGATCAATTGCCACTGAAAAGTGAGTTCGATCCTCACTGAGTGTCCCATACTTTCGGGATTGTGACACGTCTAAGCTATGCCTAGAAAAACGCCATGAAAATAATAAGACACTAGAAAAGAAAGATAGATAGATAGATAGATAGATAGATAGATAGATAGATAGATAGATATATAGATAGATAGATAGATAGATAGAAAGAAAGAAAGAAAGAAAGAATGAAAGAAAGGAAAAGAAAGAAGACCATAATGCTCACAAGCGATTAACATCTGCTTCTCTGAAATGGAAAATCTGCCAATTTTGTATATTTTCATTTGTACCTTTGGTACTCGTACAGAAGATTATCATTGCAATATTGTACAAAGCTCAACTATTTAACGAATATTTTATAATCGTAGAACTCAGAAAGTACTTATTTACTTATGAACTTAACATTTAACCCTCTACATTATTTATAAATATTATTTCCACTTTTACTGTATGGAATCCCCTCAAAATATTTTTTCTATCAGTTCTCTATATTTATAATTCCGTTAACCCGGCTCTCAATTTCAGTCAAGATTGTTTTAGGTGTTACCATAGAAGAGTATGACTACACAACTAAAAAATTCAAATTCAACTTACATTGGCATGACTAACATCTTGCTTGATGAAAATAGTCACCTACAGAGTGCTAAACATTCATTTTTATGATTCAACAGGAAATCCTAATAGCAATACCCGTGAAATATTCACGGGTATTGCTAGCAGAGTATAAATTCGTGTAAATATTTTTACAAGTGAAAAAGGAAGAGTCAGTTATGTGATACACGCGTAGGCGATCATGTATCTTTTGATACATGACTGACGAGGCAGATTTTTTTCCAGCAGTACGTTGCCATTTCTTTCTGCGGTAGACCAGTTGCCATCTAATGCTACAGAAACCGGTCTGTCCCTGCTATTTACACATTGCTATTTTACAAAGCTGAGGAAGGAGAAGAGGATTCATACCTTTCTCAAGAGTATTAGCGCGTTAGTGAATATCAGTCAGTTATGTTCCATGCGTGATACACGCATAGGCGATCATGTGCCTTCGATACGTGACTGACGAGGCAGATTTTTTTTCGGCAGTAGGTTGAAATTTCTTTCTGCGTTAGACCATTTGCCATTTAAGGCTACAGAACCCGGTCTATCCTGCTATTTACCCATAGCTGTGTAGAGAAGAAGATTCAAATCTTTCCCAAGACTATTAGGACGTGAGTGAATGTAAAGGATTCGACTGGAATTTGAACTCTGCTCTCCGATTTCTCAATCCGAGCCCCTATCAACTACTCCACCGTGACTATCCAAGGAGGAATAACTTTGCTTTAAAAGCGCAGACTCATATTCTTTGTAGACAAACATACCTTTTTTTTGTGTGTGTGGGGGGGATTACAGTGAGAAAGTAGTATATATTTTAGCATACCAAAAACAAAAAAGAAAACTTATCTCTCGAGATTAGATATAACACTACGTTCTGTCAACAAAAGCAGGCGCTTAGCCTGAAGTTACGAGTCTCAGAAGTACTTACCGTTAATTATGACGGCTCTTTCAAACTTGTTGTGTATGATACACCTAATTTACATAAGTGGAGTACCGACCATATAAATATGGGTTGGTACCGGAAGACGGGGGAAGATTAAGAGATCGAATCCAGAGACTCTGCCCGACTGCGACTTAGTCAACCCATTCTGCAGGAACAGTCTTCCCAAGAATATACCAAAACTACCTGTAAATATTGTGTACCTTTTTTCATTGTTTCAATACATTTTGTTACGTACATTTTGTGTTGTATTATTATTATTCCATGCTTATTCAAGCTTCAACAAAACTGAAAGACGATAAATTTTTCTAAATAATATCCGACATTAAACATTTATAGAACACGTTTCATCATGGTAAATGCTGCTACAGAATATATACAAAAATGTATATTCAGTCTAATAAGAGGGACTATAAATGCTTTAACGTATTAAGAATCTATAAGACTTCGTTAGAAACGAAGAAAATAGTGCTGAGATGCAATGACATATCAAATTTTATGTGGCAATGAAAGCTGGAAAATAACGTCACAGGTGCAGACAAGACTGACAACAACTGGGATTTGGTTCTACAGAAGGATAATGTGGATACCATGGACAGGGCATGTAGGCAATGGGCATGTTTTAAGGAAAATGGGGAAAAAATCAATTGTACATTAAATCAGTGGAAATCTCCGGGCTATATAATGAGAAAAGAACATCTGTAAAATTTGGCATCCATAGACGCTATTGGAGGGAAAGAGAAAAAAAGCGGGTAACCTAACTAACAAGCTTGTAAAAATGGATGTCAGAACAGAAAGATGGAGGGATACTTATGTTGCTAAGAGATATGAAGGATTGGGAGTTGGGGAGAGCCATAATCGCCCAGTTCTAGAAGGAATACAGCACATAGAAGAAGTAAAAAGAATAATACAAAACTAACCAGTGTCTCAATACTTAACTTATTATTATTATTATTATTATTATTTTATTATTTTATTTTCTTTGATTTCTGGCGTTTACACATTTCTTTCCGGGTCCCGCCCAGGGACCTAAGGTTAGAAATGACACTTTCCACTGAAAAAAATAAAAAAATAAAAAATAAAATAAAATAAAATAAATTAAATTACATAGATAAAGCCCTTCGTAAGGTGTGGGCTGTACTTGTCAGAACAATTTTTTGTATCTCCTTGAGGCATGGACTTCCAGGAATCCCTTCAATTAGTCTACTGCAATCTTTTCCAAACAGTCCTAGGGCTCCAACTACAACAGGGATTGTTGATGTTCCCATATGCCACATTTTCGAGATTTCTATTTCAAGGTCCTTGTACTTTGACAGCTTTTTTAATATCTTCAAAGATACATTGCAGTCAGCAGGGACTGCCATATCAATAAGGAGGCACCGTTTATTATTATTATTATTATTATTATTATTAAATTTATTATCATTATCATCATCATCATCATTATTATCATCATCATCATTATTATTATTATTATTAAATTTATTATTATTAAATTTATTATTATTATTATTATTATTATTATTATTATTATTATTATTTCCTTTGCTTTTGTCGTCTACCCTTTTCTCTCTGGGTACCAACCAGAGACCTAAGCTCAGAAATGGTATCATGACATTTTCCACTGAGCATTTTCAGAAAAAACAAAAACGAAAAACAAAAGAAAAACTAAGATCGTACATATTTTACATAAAGCCCTTATTAATGTACGATCTGTATTTAGAAGATTTTTTTTCTATTTCTTTAAAGCAGGGGCTACAAGGCATACCTTCAATGTGTCAATCGGAACTTTTTTTCAAATCAAACCGAGAGCTTTAACTACAACTGAAAGTGTTGATGTTCTCATGTGCCACATTTTTTAGATTTAGATTTCAAGGTCCTTGTATTTTGATAGTTTCTTGTACATCTTCAAAGATACATTACAGTCTACAGGGGCTGCCATGGCAATAAGAAGGAACATTCTGTTTTGGGGGGTCTCTGAACACGATATATGTTCGATTAGTTCCATTATTCTGACAGTATTATTAACTCCCATGAAATTGTTACAAGTCTTATGTCTTATTGGTTTTCATACCAATTATTTGCAGTTTCTTTTTCGTAAGATTTGCAGATTTACCAATGCAGGTATTGCGCCGCTCTGTAATGTCAGTGGGTGCCAATACCGTGCAACCTGATAAAAGATGGTCAGTTGTTTCTACATATTTATCACAGAATGCTTTTTGGGATAATACAATTTTTCAGTATACATGCTTGGTAATTTCTAGTTCGCAAGCATTGGCCCTGTGCAGCAATTATTATTATTATCAGTTTTATTTTCTTTGATTTCTGGCGTTTACACATATCTTTCCGGGTCCCGCCCATGGACCTAAGGTTAGAAATGGCATCATGACACTTTACACTGATAAAATTTTTTTTTAAAAAATACATAGATAAAGCCCTTCGTAAAGTGTGGGCTGTACTTGTCAGAACAATTTTTTGTATCTCTTTGAGGCATGGGCTTCCAGGAGTCCCTTCGATTAGTCTACTGGAATATTATTATTATTATTATTATTATTATTATTATTATTATTATTATTGTCATTAAACTATTCAGTTAGCACATTTTGCTCCTCTGTGATCATCACTCATTCTATTTCTGTTGTAATTAGGTTTCATGGCAATATTCAGGGCAAAGTCTTGCCGGTTCCTTTTGCACCTCGAATGTTGAAGTTACCCTGCTTTTCCTCTCGGAAAGAAGTTTCTACGGAAACCAGTAAAGCCGTTGACCTCTGAGGCGCAGCTGCTACGCTCCGATTGGCGACTGTCCGATGTTCACTTGCCACAGATGGGTTTGGGAGAGACGTTCCCCTTCACTTGTCGGTTCGGGAAATTCTTCCCACTGCCCTCACGCTATTTAGAAGGCAAGTCGATGTTGAACGTGGTGTGGCCGTTGCGGAGACCATGCAACTTCTTAAAGCCATGTGTGACAGTTGAATGCAGGCTGTGTACCAATACAGTTGCGCATCCCAATTCACCTGATTATAGCAGTGTCTACCGCTCCGCAGCAGAGGCACTAACACCAACAATACACCATGTTATTATTATTATTATTATTATTATTATTATTTTATTATAAGAATCTTCACCATGATAAACATCTCGGTAAAAACGTTTGTAAAGAATTAAAATACTTTTGCTAACGATTCTTATTTTGTAACTTATACAGAAGTATTTACTGAGAATAAAAACAAAGTCAATTAATATTCGTTTTTCATCTTTGCTTTGAAAAAGGTTCATGTAAAGTAGCGAAACGTCAACACTTAAATATCGCCTTTTTTCAAAATCTAACTGGTTTTCACATATTCGACCAATATATCAAGAAAACGGTAAATAAGTTTTAAAAAGAGCCAATATTAGAGAGGAAAACTGGATCAGGAGGTCACAACAGGAAGAAGGATCATCCTTTCAGCTTAGAGCAGAAGTGATCAATTACAAAAGATCCAACTCAATTCATAAGACATTTGGCACGCGAGAGAGGAATTTCACCTATGACAGCCTAAAGAGCAGTGAAAAATGTCTTGAAAATGAAAATCGTAAGTGAAAGGTATGAGGCACCTTGTTACTGCAGGACAGAAAGTTAGAAGGTTAGAGAGGGCGAAGATCATCTTGAATAAGTGGGAAAATGATCCAGCAATAATATATACATATCTGAACTTTATTTCAATACAT